TATATATATATATATATATATATATATATATATATATATATATATATATATATATATATATATATACATATATATATATATATGTAGCCTGGTGATTTTATTTGGTGATTCAAAAATTCAGATGAATAAAAGCAGTTTTTCCTTCTTAGGATGGTCTTGAAACGTGAGCATTCTTTTTACTCTTCCCACATGGTGCTACCTGCACTTTCCCGGAGTTGCTATAATATATTTGTTTTTTTTCTTTCAGTGAATCAAATTCGAAATTTACTACCAGTAGCACTACCGATCCCATTAGAACCACTGATGATACCAGCAGTTAATTACCCCGTTCCTTCGCCGCTATTGCCAGTAACCTCAGTGATACAAGTTGGAGTCCCTGAATATGTTAGTCTACCCGTTGGTATGAGACCGATTTCTCTAGTGCCTTCATCATTTGGTTATATTTCAGGAAGGTATTTTTTTGATTTTTGCAATCTCGTTATAGCAGCGGTTGAAACTAATTTCTCTGGAAGGTTTTAATTGGGGATTTTCAGAGATCGAGATTCGGAAAAAGTGTAGAAGTCACGATTGTAAGGCAATGTTACCGCAGACTATCACAAGGACAGGTCAATTTTTTTTTTCACACTAGTAGTACGAAAAGATCTCTTTTTCAGTGACAATTTGAGTGGTGAAGTTTGCTCGACACAAAGTAAAATACCGATTGAGCCTCCAAATTTGTCCCAGATGCAAGACGGTGTACATCGGGTAACTTAAGTTTTTACAGTTGGCTAAAATGGCAAACGTACTTGTTTTTTAGAGAGGAAGATTTTCAAGGATAATTTTGGTTTACTGAAAAATGATGTAGTTTAAAACTTTCGCCTTATTTTGTATTTGATATGATATAGATTGCGAAAAATAATGGATTTTTCAAACCCTTCAAGTGTTCATGTCGACTTATAGGACATTTACTTTTTAAAGATATCTTCATAAAAAATCGAGTTTTTAAAAAAGTTGGTTCCAAAGCAGGTCAATTTCTTCTGATTTTTTTTCAGGTAAGATATGATCCCTGTGCTGAAGGAGGTTATGCATCGAAAAATAATGAAATCGACGAAGAACAGTCAGTCTTATCAAGGTATATCATAGAAACATACTTCATTGTAAAAGGCGGTGTCGGTTGCTCTCTGAAAAACTGGAAAGATCGAAATGAAATTGAAGTTTGGACTTAATAAGTTTAAATTAAATCATATTTGTATTTACAACTAAACGTAATTAAAACTCATATTTACAACTAAATGCTCCCAAGGTTGCTTGGAATTTGTTTCTGTAATCTCACACTTCTGTCTCATTTCAGGCCCCTGGAATGTCCACAGCACACTGAGAGCACTTATGCCGCTGAAAATGCTGATGTAAACAATTTGCCAAGGTTGTTATATTTTGTGAATAAAAAACCTATTTAAATCGGAGCAAGATGTTACAACACTATTTATCACCATTTACCCAGTGTTGATAAGTGGTGCTGGAAATAGTCTGTCTCTCTGTTGGAGGCCCTAATGTGTGAGTGTTGCTTCCAGGAAAATTTGAATATATTTCTTAGTCACGTATCATACACAGTAGCAAAGTCAGTTTTATACGAAGAAAAAGAAGTGATATTAACATCGCTCCAATTGCATTATATTTCATTCCACACTGCTTCTTCAACGGAACAGATGTTGTGTGTTTTTTTCCTCAACCCGTTGGCTAATTTTTGAATTCCGAGATATGATTGATTGGTCTGTTGTTGTTCTAAATTTCAATTAATTTATTTGATGGGAATTTTCATCCAGTCTTTTTATTCTAAATTTTTTGTGTTTCAGAAATAGTTCTGTAAAAGTAGTCACCGTATCAACGGTGGTCCCAACAGTCAGTCCCTATCGGATACGCAGTGCGATTCCAGCTGCCATTCAAGCACCGTGTACTGTTGTGCACATCAGAGATACCATCAAACAGCCTTTACAAACACCTTGTATTCAGCAGTCAGAGTGTGAGTTTTTTTGAGAAGCTATCATTGTAGCTAATATATTTTGAGGTAATCATTCTTTGTTGAATATTTTATAGTTCAAGTTTTAAATAAAGGAATGCCATAATCTTTAAATATTTAACACTTCTGGCAATGGTGGTGATTCCCTTTATGGTGGCGCAGCAGTTACCATTAGGAATTTATCCGGTACCGGGAACTCAAGCGATTGAGAAAGTGTTGTTAACAATAGAAAGATAAAGTTATAAATGTAGAGGAACGAATGAATGTTGTGCACAGAAATGATAATAAGAAAAAAAAAGTTACCATTAGTAGCTTTTCTTTTCTGTTTGTAGCTTAGCTTAAATGACTTCCTCTATAAGTGCAAGTAATTCATCGACTGTGCAAGAAGGCCTAATAGTCTGGCATTATACATTTTTAGAAAAGCAGCAACGAGTTAAATATTCCAAGTAAACAAATTTTATAAAAACAGTTTTATTAGGTTTTTTAATTTTTCTTCTACTTCAAGACATTTCAAAATTGAAATCCAATTTTCTGTTTGTAGCTTAGCTTAAATGACTTCCTCTATAAATGCAAGTAATTCATCGACTGTGCAAGAAGGCCTAATAGTCTGGCATTATACATGCAATTTTCTTAGGCATCCAGGATCTAGATTATTAATCTTGTAATAAAATATGACATATCGCGATTTATTCAAATTTCCCAAGAGTTGCCACTTGTGCTAACCTCTATTTGACATTATGTTGTTGTATGCTTGCTTGTCTTTTATAATTTTTCATTTCAGCCTATGAACAAATATGCGCATCTGAGGGAGCTGAAGGCAATCGATGAAAAAGTAGGAAATATCTTCCCTTCATCCATCTGCTTTGTGAAATGAACATGACAGAAAGCATTGTTTTGCAGGTATTTTTTTTGCAGGTATAGAAATGCCTCCCTCACATTTTTGGTTCTATTCCTCAACTCTGAAAAATCGGCTTCAGCTGATCATTAGAAGATAGTGAAGAAAGGTGAGTTTCAGAGGTATAGGCATTATATATTCCTTAGTGGACACCGTCCTTTTTTCTCTTCTCGTATTTCAGTTGTTCTTAATTACTTTGTTGATCGCTTTAAAAAAAATAGAGCAAAGCAACGAAGCAGTTAAGGGACCAGCTATTGTGATGTTTCTCTTGCAAAATTACATTTCAGTCTGCGAATGAAAATGTATTCCTTCTAAAGAGTTAAATGCAGTTGATAAGAAAATCGAAATCTTACTAAAAAAAGACGATGTCCAGTGAAAAATACAAAGTGTTTATACCTTTCAGAACTAATCTTTCTCCGCTATCCAAAGTTTAACTAGGAGCTCAATAATGATTTAAATAAATATTAAATAGAAATGAAAATCACTAATAAAACTGAGTGGTATCATGATTTTCTTGTATATATAGTATAGGTTGATATAGTCTTATCTACCTTAAGTTATGCAAATTGCTTTATTTTTACTTAATTATTAAACATCGTTACTACTATTTTTATGACTTTTGTGAATCATTTACTGATAAATGCTTTTACCCATGTTTAAGATTTTATTATTAATATATATGGGCCTCTGTAGCATGAAAAAATGTGTCAACTTGTACACATGTAAAATTCGAGGTCCAAGATGTTTTATCAGTTTTCAATGATTTAAGCTAAGGTTATTTGTAACGGAACACTGAGAATTTCTGTATCACAGACCCAGAATATTTTAGTTTGGAAGATGTTTTTCATGTTGTTGGCAAGGACCTTTAGAGTTGCTAAGAATTAAAGTTAAAATTGCGATATTCCTTCTTATATTGCTAGTGACCTTGTGTATTGTTAATTTGTTCATTTTCCTTCGGATAAAGTGAACTGGACTGTGTTGTGCAGTCCGTTTTTCATGTATTTTATTTACAAAATTATGATTATGTCCATGAATAAGACTAGATTCTGAGTTGGCCACGATTTTTAACAGTCTGAATCTTAAGCTTATTTGAACTTGTCCTGCTGATGCCAACTGATCTTAAACCTGATGGTATTTTTTCGAATTTAAAGGACAGTGGAACTCTTATTTTTTTATTCTGTATTGAGTAGTCTTTTTGTCCTTTCGCTAGAAAAATTTGTAGTAGTTTACAGGCTCCAAATGTTTGCAGCCTCAGACTCCAGCGGGGATTAGCTAATTTATTCTATCAGACTACATTCTGTTGTCTCCTTTTTCTATTAAATGCAATATCGTTGCTACATCTAGGAATAAAATAAATGTGTTGTTTAGAATTTTTAAAGTGCTGCCGTATATGCACTGATCCGTAATGTATTCCATGCATAACGAATGGAAGTCATTCTCAGTTTCATATCTTTGTATTTGATCCTGTGGTGTGGATCGCATTACTGTTTGTTGTTCTAATTTTTATGACTTTTTGAGAAGGACAGGATGACTAGATTAGTTCGGTCTACATCATCTCGCATTATCCGTATTCAGTAGTATACAGCATAGAAATAGAATTAGCTTTTAAATGGTCCGAAGTAAATATTTTTAGTTTTTGATGTCAGAAAAAGTGAAGGATACCTGTTTTTGATATTCAATTACTGATGAGCTAGTTCTGATGCATCGCAAAAATGATTTCTTAGGTTTGAGATGGAATATGATAAAATAATTGTGGTTTGCCACTGTATTTTGAATCCGCCAGATATTTAAGATTGATCTTTTCAGTATAATTTGATGTTTTAAAAAACAACCAAAAGATAGCATCTTGAAGTGATGTCCTCGCTTCCCGATTTCACTATATGCGGAACACTGGGTAATGATTTATGTTTAAAGACACATTACGAACTTATTTTCTAATTTTTGAAGCTGTTAAATTTTAAATGATATTTTCAATTTTCGGAAAGAAATGTTGCGAATTATTTTTGTTTCCAAGGTAAAGCATGTTCTGGATTAAGCGACGTTTTACTGGTAAAACGAATAGCAGATGAAAGTCTTGCTGCTTTGCGTATATTGCCCACCGAAAAGATGGATTATGAGAAGATAAAGGTTGTTGTCTGTTGTTTCAAGAAGAACTCCTATAAAGGTGCAAAAACCTTAAAATCTCAAGATTTTGAGGAGATTTCTGTATCATTAAAATTGAAGCCAATTGAAGCATGCAATACTGTGCGATTCTCCCTCGGGATTAAGATTATAAATTAATGGTGCTCCTATCGTTTATACCGGCCCGCAGAATATCTTTTTCACTTTCAATTATGTCTGTTCCAGGAAGAAGTGTGGTTTTTGAAATGGTTGTCTCATCCGTGTATTATTTCGGTTAATCAGATAATTTCTGTGGGAAGTGATGTTTATGTTTTCTCAGCCTATTGCGATCTCTGTTTGTTTTTTGAGAATGATTATGAAATTTTAAACTTATCTTTTGTTATGAACAAGGAAGGAATACTTATGGAGGATCACTGGAGGGATGAATACTGCTACATTATGGATCTTAGTTCAGGATTTTAGTTACCAAATTCAATTTTAAATGAAGTCCATGTTCATGTCCATGTTTCTCTTGTTAACGCTATACTTCAGATTTCAATCGTCATAGCTTGCAAATTCTATTTCGAATCTGACATCCATACAGATGTTGCCATCATTATCTTCCTTTCGATTGACTTGATTCCTCTTGTCTCGTGTATTTTCAGGTTCAGTTTCACATGTGGTACATAATCATTATCCGTGTGGTCTACCTGAAAAAGCTATTGCTCAAATTCTTAAAAATGTCCTGTTAGCCGTACAGTACTTACACGATCAAAAAATTGTCCATAGATCAGTCTTTTTTTTTAATTTTTTCTGGTTTAGTATTGTGGAAATGCATATGAGCTTGTTAGAGATTTCGCCCATCGAAATTTTCTGTTATCATCTACCAATAAAGAAAACAGTACCAAAATGATGTTATAGAAGTAAGGTAAGTAGTTGGTCGTTTAGTGAAAAGGTCGTAGTAAATATTAAAAAAGGAAATTTTCCATATAGTTTTTCTTTTTATTTTCAGTTCGAGTTTGCAAGATTAAGGTTTTCAGTCATTCTGGAAGTTATTGCCACAAATGTTAAGTTTACCAGAGTCAGATATTTAATTTTTGGAATAAATTCAGAAGTTTTGGGTTGAGCTGTGAAAATAATATAAATTTTAGATCTATACGATGTAGTCATATTTTACTACATTCAACGGGCGTTGTGAAATTGACTGGCTTTCGCCACTGTATATTTTTACGACATAATGAGCTGACTGGTGCCGGTAATGTTTTGCATAACTTTGACGCCGAAATTTCCAATGAGCTATTGTGGTTGGCTCCTGAAATATTGAAACAGGTAAGTCAGTTAACGATGACAAATTGTAAGAGAAAGGACCATGGGCGGAAATTGTTAAATTTTGAGCATAAAATTTCATACAACATAGTTTACGTCAAAGATCTTTAGGTAAGTTTCTAAACTAGGGACTTAGCTTTTTTTTAGAAGCATTCGTCTGTCTTTCAGAGTATTTCAAGTTATCAGACCATGCAGGGAGCGTGCAAAAATTCCTGCAAATTGTAAAATGTGTAAAACACCATAAAATAAGTGCATTGATTACTCCCCACAATTTCAGAGTATGATTTTTTCCGTCGAGAGTTCAAAGATTTTTTTTTTCACAAGCATGAATAAATGTTTAAACGAATATCTGATGTCCGAGAAGTCTAGGCATCGTTTTTGACAAAGTTCATAGAGCGTGTTAATGTAAGACTTCCTCAGGGTATCGAGTTTTGGAAGTTTGCTGCTTTCTCTGGCATCTTTTTTCCTATCTTCTAAATTACATAAATAGTTTAATTAGGATTTGTATGGTTATGGTTTATCATCTGATGTGTATAGCATTGGAATAACGATATGCGAAATGGCTAATGGTTTTCCACCCTTTTCGGATATGGATCGGTTACAGGTACTATTTTGTTAAGCTTTCGTGAAAACATAGTTTCAGGTTATTTAGTTGTTTCCCCACCCTTCCGTTCTTTTATATGTTTTATGAGAATATTTTTAGATGCTTTTTGAAAAAAGTAAAGGAACAACGCCACGGCTACTGGATTGCACAACTCTTCCAAATAAAGGTTATGTTTTTTTTTCGTTAACCTGTTTTGCATACCAGTGTAATTTAGCATATTACGCAAAAAATTAATCTTATTACTTACAGAAGACATGGAGCATGATCAACAATGTCGACAGCGACGGCGTTTTAGTGAATCACTACATATTATAACGGATAATTGCCTCAAACCGTTACCAGAAAACAGGTTATTCTTATTATTAATTCAGAAGTATAAATTGAAACGGATAGGAATCAATTTCTAAAAATAGCGGACAGATTTTTCAGATTATCGTGTTGAAGTCAGTAAGTCATGTAATCTTGTTTTGTGGAAAAAACAAAGTGATGTGACAATTCTTCATCCTCTATTCATTTTTGGTGTTTAGACGGCTTGACATAAAATTCACAAAACTTCCATTTTTTGGCTTTTCCGAGAAAGAAAGTAACTGACTGCTTATGCTAAAAGAGAAGACCGAATTATATTTGTTATTTAATTTGGTGAAAATACAAGAAAGTGTAGGTCCTTCAAAATACATACTAATTAATCATGTTTGTTAATGATATTTTCTAGGTGGTCTGTATCAAAACTCTTGACGCATCCCTTTGTGAAATCAATTAGAAAGAATCGTTCTTTTTCATCTCTGCTGCCAGATATAATATGAATTGAGCTTTCAAGGTTTATTATTCTGCCCATCTGTTTGAAATTTTGAAAAAAAGGTGAATATCTGGTTTTTTCTTTTTCTTTTTTTTGTAATAGTCTTCAAATCTTATCCAGTTCGGTGTAAAGATTACAATCTATTGGCGGCTGTCAAGGAAGTCGAATAAAAATCCGTTGTTTTTGAACAATTTCAAGACCTTTTCTTTAAAAACCAGTTAGCATTAGAAAGATTGCTGTTGATTACGAGTGTCTTGGAAAATATGAATTCAGAAAGAACTCAAAGCTATCGATTTTGCTTATTAGAAAGTAGCCTGCCACCTTATGTTCCACGGGAAGGAAACAATATTATTAATAGTGACAATATCCTTAAAGTCAAAAGTACAAATCAGAATTTTCTTTTGTTGTAATTGTCAGCCTCGAATTAGAGAATCAACTTGGCGGTATGGACATTGCATCCTTAACTCACCACATCTTTATTTCAGAAATTTTTACTTTTAATTGTATCGTCTTTGAAAGGATAGTAATGAAAAACGTTTGGTCGATAAGCATCTGCGGTCGGTGTGTTTACTAATGTTATGCAATAATTGTCAGTGAATAAAATATAATTTTTAAAGCTTCAAGAGAATGAATTTGATTGGAAGTGTGAAAGAATGAGAAATGAATCCCTAAAGCTGCATTTAGCATTATGGAGTTTGTCAGTGAAAACTCGAAAGGAATCCAATCCATCTTCAAACAAGTTGAAACTTTGTTCTCATAATTGAGGCGACTGTTACAAAAAAAAAAAAAACCAAAGTTATTCTAAACTGATGGCTTCTTTATAAACAAAGTGGTATCGCAATGTGTGAAATACTAGCGAAGTTGAAATATCTTAATACTGCGGGTACGCAAAACCTCAAATACTTTAATACTAGCATTGTAAATTTCATCACATCTGCTGCAGATCTATCACCACAGTTTTTTCTTGAGAAAATTTCGCGTTAACACTTTCCTAATTTTTTGAATGAACTGAAACCAGGTTGTGGCTGTAAGTTTAGCAGCTGCACTTTTTGACAATGGGATCAACATTAAGCACAGTTTTAATTAAAAATTAGGTATCCGGTTTTCCAGTCCTAAATATATATATATATATATATATGTATATATGAAACACTTTAAGTTCCTTTAGATCATTTATGAGTGAAAACATGAATTTCGGAATTCATTTCCACATCAGTTCTTCCTCTGCGTCATCCCGTAACTTCCAATGAATCGGATACAACAACAACTTTAGTTAAGTCGTTGTGGAAATGAAGAGAATGAAGCGAAGCTATTCTGTAGGCCTTATAGGGAGAGCAATCGCAACAGAACTTCGAAAATATTGTAAAAGCTTTCGAGCTGGTAATGGAAATTGAATGTCTTTTTTAACGCAAAATTCATTCTTTTACGTGATAATAGAATGGAATTAAATTAAATCTTAATGAAGTAATCTGTAATATTGCAGAGATGCCGCATATTGTTATAATTCATTTCCATGATAAATCAATTAGACAAGGGAGAGAAAGTCGATAGCTAGTAGTACTATGCAAAGATCGTGAACTCATTGCAAAAAGAAATTATAATTTTGAATTAGTGCACACTTCAGATTCCGTAAGTATTTGACATGACTTAATGTGATTTCTAATTTCAAAATAATAGATTAAATTGATAAACATTCTGAAATCTCATCCACGCTTATGTTTTAGTCAATCGAAAAGTCCCACGAATCCTGGGAAAGTGGGCCAACGGTGCATTGCTTTGTTCATGCGCTTCATGAATCACTGATTATAGATCACAAACACACGAGCATTTTAGTCAGATTTTTCATGAAGGGAGAAAACTGGGACCAGAACATCACATGTGGTCAAATGCAAATTTGATTAAATCTAATGTGCAATGAGCTAGCAAGAGCGGTTGCCAAAACAACAAAGTTCCTTAAATTTTTGATTCAAGACGAGAAAACTCGAGATTGTATAAAAAATACAGTTGTATTACGGGGAAGCTACCCATATTAAGCTTGCTATTTTTTGCAATTAACGGAAGCTTTTGGATAAAAAGACCAACCCTAACGGAAATCCCTTAATGTCCTAGAATTTGACAACGTGGCTTTTCAACGATATCCACGGGTTAGTGGCTAGCAAATTGAAATGACATCTGTACAGAAATTCTCCAGTGATCCTACAATAATGTTAAGCTTACTTTAGGGGCCGCATTCCGGAGTGAACCGCAAGCTTTTGACAAAACGTACAACTGCATGCACCATATCGAAGAGCATTCCTTTGGTATGGGAGCCTACTCATGATTACGGTCACTGGTATTAATAACGCTAACAGCCCTGACTGAATCAAATATCAATGAATCAACATGCAGAAATTTTACACCCGGATTTATCCATCGATCCTAATCTACACATCCCGCATCCGTCCTGCCACAAAGCCAAATTTGCCATCAGTTAAAGTGCTTGCGACAGCATACGTAGAGCTTTGGATTCTTGTACTATGAATTAAGCGGTTACTTTTATATCACCTCAACACATTCATATATTTGAACAGTTGCATTGAATAAAGTGCACAGAACTTAGACTGAACATAATGCCAACCCAATTCCCTAATCATTTCCAAACGGATGCTTTACAAGCAAATACCGCATTCTCTCAAACACCGCTACCAAACCATGGGGTAGTGGTAGAACGCTTCCCCTTATCTGCAAGCTCTTAAATTAATGCACAACTGAATATGTTGTACTCTACTTTTTAAGTCACTAGTAGACAAGAGAAGATGCAGCTGAAGATGCAACATATAATTCAAAGCCGTCCATTTCAGTGATTGTAAATATATATAACTGCGAGAGGGGTATAAAATATTTCATATTAGTGGCATAAACAAACCAAGATTCACATATACGAATGTGGAAGGAAGTGTTTCGAAACACTGTCAATGTCGTAATAAAAATTCTATATTACAGACAAACGATTTAAGCAAAGCAAATATTAATAAGCAAAACATATCTCAAGAGTATATCAGTAAGGGAATAATGATAAACATTTTACCGGTAAATGAAACAGGAATTTCATCGATAATTTATGTTTCTGTCATCAAACGGTTTAATTGCCCGTCACCAAGTGGCAGCGAAAACCTTCAAGGTAAGCAGCCACAACTGCAAATGCGACTGGCATACAACGCATACCAAAAGACACAACAAATCATGTACTCAAGACTGAATCCAAGTTTTATCCCATGCTGGATTCATGCTCAAGTTCACATCCGAAGGAAATAATTTAATGAACAACCATGAAAAAAAGCATCACCTAAGAAAAAGCATGTAAAAAAAGACGATTCTTAATTTCTATCCTTCTAGATGGAAGTGATGAAGGCGAAAGAAAAGACAACCGAAAAAACTTGTGATTCGATGGAATACTGGAAATGTTACGAAATGATCTGAAGAAGTTCTATCACTCTTCGGTTCTGAAGTCCTTGAGTACTTCAAGACTGATTCACACAAGAAAAGATATTGAACAAAAGAAATTTCCGTGTTAATAAAACCCAAAGCTAAAAGTCCAATGCAGCAGTTGGAACTTGTCCAAGACATAATTTAAAATCTGCTTTATCGGACAAATGAATATGAGAAACAAGAAAATATAATCTCCTACTACGTGAAATACATCCGACGATAATCGTTGGCACCAAATGCAGCGTTACATTTTGGACATTTACGTCTTCTAGTCTCATAACGTGTCTTCATACATTCCATACAAAACACATGGAAACATTTCGTCAGTACGGCATCCTTCCTCCTCACTTTACACGATGGGCAAGTCAAAATATCCTGCAAAAAGAAAGACTGTCGAAAAAGTTCACAAGACCGAACACAACAGCACCGGTATTCCAACATTTAACCACGAATTAAGTGACGTTGGAAATGATAGGCTACATCAATTACAATATCGAAAACTTCCAAAAATACAAGTAAAGTAAATTAAACCTTAAGTTCTCTAATTTCTTCATTTAGCACTTCATCCCAATTCTCCATTTTCTCCATCTTTTTTGCCCGTTCTAATTTCTTTCTCAGGATACTTTTCTCTTCTTCCAAACGCTTTATTTTGAACGAATCTACCTCTTGTTGTGAGGTTTTTGTCGTCACGGCCTGCAAGATCCATTAATTTTATTTATGAATGAATTACGCAAGTCAATAGATATTTTTCTGCAGTGGTACAGAAAATAAGCAAACCTGCTGCGCATCATTAAGCTGACTGTTGCACTTCTCCAACTGTGCTTTGTAATCAGCCGACGTCTGTGAACATTCGATTGCTTTTCTTTTATGCATATCATTCGCCTGCTCGATCAGTCTAAATTTAAAAAAATCGGACCAAAATTTGAGAGGAACCATAGTCGCTTTTCTGTGATGAAGTTCTGGAGAGGTATAAACCAATAAAATATATTTCTACTAACGAAGTATGCTTATTTGGATATAATAAAAACGACTCCAACTCCTGAACTCTTGCTCACCTTACAAAATCAATGCATACCTGAACTTGTTACATTTTTAGGCTTTCTACTTTCATAAGTTTTATTTATGACTCAATGAAAACCTGATGAGTCTCTGAAACTAGGTACGGCTAAAACAGATAAATTCATCATACCTTAACTGATGCTCTAAATGAGAATTTTTCTGCCTCAAAAGCTTTTCTGTTTCCTCCAATTTCGATATCATCAGCTGCTGGGCTTCGATTTGATTCTGCAAACTACTAATGCGTTCTTCCGTGCGCTCTCTTTCTTCGCTCATCTTTTTTTGATATTGATTGGCACGTATTCGCTCGGCCATTAGTTTTAAATTTGCATCATCCTATAAAAGAAAGAAATCTGAAATGAACCCACCATTTTCTAAGTAAAAATTTTGGAAACCATAAATCATGAACTAAACGAAATCAGAGGGATCATTTCATTTTCCGTTTTTGACTATATAAAACAAAAAACATCAAGCAATATTTCAGGACCAAAAGTATACCTTTTCTCTAAGTTGCTGCAGTAATCTAGTATTCTGTTCTTGCATTTCTTCAAATGCTTGACCCGTAGTTTCAACATCGTTCATGAGACCTTCTTCTTCTTGTCTTGCCGAATGTGCTTCTTTCCGAAGACGATCTGCCGTTTCTTCCAGACTTCTGTATGAAACAAATATTTTAGATTCAATCGTTTAGAAAAATAATATAAAGTGAAAGAAACTATGAAAGCCACTATTATACTAATTGAATATGTTATATTAACATCGACAATATGAAAGAGTTTGCAATCCATAACCAGTAATTAAAAGTAAGAAAATTTAACCTGATTTTTCTTTGAGCTTCATCCGAATAGTATTTCATTTTCTCTCTGTGATCAGCGCCAGCAAGTTTTTTAATATGCAGCTGCAGCTTATCATTTTCAAGTTTCAGTCTTCTTTCACGAGCCAGCAGCTGAAATACATGAATTTTCTCATGATTTATATACGCTGGCAAGGAAGAGTGTTCTCATCAAATTCAAATTTCAAAAGAGGGTGGAAGCAAAAATTCTTCGGAAATGTTTATGTATACAACTGATGCATAATCATTCCGTATATATCAGAAAGTAAAAAATGGAAAACTATTCTGAAATTAATATATAACATTTTCTGAATACACTATTTGTATTAGTAGTGCGTCAGCTATACTCAGTCATTACTGATAAATCCAATCCTTCTTCCCCCATTTCGAAAAAAGTTACCTCAACTCGTTCTCTTTGCTCAGCTGTTAATGCATTTAAAGCATCTATTTTCGACTGCAAATCGGTAACTTTTTTTTTCAGCTTCCTGAAACAGATGCACAAAGACTGTACGATAGGACTAAAGAAATTATTAAGCGTCTTCAACATATATGTAATTTGCTCACGAGAATGATAAGGTACACACTTAGTAATCAATAATCAATCACTTAATTAACCACTGAAGACATTATTATTCCATTAAAGAAAAATTTTACAATGAATTACACTAACTGTATGACTTTATTCGGATGTGTTCCAACATCGGTGTCACCATCAACCTCACTGCTGTACTCACAACTTCCATCATCATGCAGTATTTGTTCCGAGGGCTCCGCAATATTTCTCTCTTGATCCGGTGAAGCCAGAGCATCGTTATCGTCTTCTATTTCAATCAGTAAACACCTTTCACGATAATGTCTCTCACTCTCTAATTCTTTATTGCACTGAAAGAGAGATAAAATAAAAACTTGCTTAGTTCCAAAGCACCATTACCGATTCTCCTTCAAATCATTCCCCTTGAACCAGGAACTCACTTTGGCTAATGATGAAACGGCTTCCTTCCATTTCCTTTTGAAACGATTTGCTTCCTGTTTTAGCTGCTGATTTTCAGCTTTTGCTGATGCAAGCATTAAACGAATTTCTTTATTTAACGGGCCTGAAATATGACTCATCCGGTCGATGCTCAGGAAAGACTTAGATCAGAATGCCGAGAATCTGTCCAAAAAAACGATACCTGACTGCTCATTGGCAGAAAGGTTCTGTTCGAACTCCAAACGTAACATTTCATATTCCCTACGTACTTGATACAATTCTTCCTCATGCCTATTCATCGTATCCTGCATCTGTTCACGAGCCTGACATTCCTCACTCTGCAAACAGAAAATAAATCCTTACAATTCTGGTTACTAATTTCTAAATGCTAAAAATATAGCGATAGATAATTTTAACATCCAGTTTCTACTTACTGGAAATTCCCAAGATATAACAAACCTCCATGACTTCGATCTGTTTAGAATGAGCGCTGCGTAATGCCGCCAACTGCGACTTCGCCGTTTCGATTTGCTGTCTTAAAATATAATTTGTTTAAATTCACAATCTACCAGTTTTAGTATGCTTTTCTTGCTTTATAAATGGTTTTGGAAACATGATAACTGCACAATTTATATGCAAACTCACAAGGTATTTCTTTAGTGCAATGTGCGTTGCGATGTATATTCATCCTATATAAAAGATGATAACATGAAATTGGAACACATAATTTTGACGAGATAGAAAAAACGAATTATAATAACGGCAACTTGCCTCATCTGATTCGCTTCCGTAAAAAGCGAAGAAAACTGCGACTGCAGCGTAGTATATTCAATGGATGTCCTAATGACTTCTGTTGGGATATTCTTCAACTGAAAAAAGCGACTTTCAAGTGGCACTCCCAACTTTGGACTCCACGAACGAAACTTCGATGACAGCCATTTTGAAACTCACATTCATTTTTAAATTTTCAACTTGCTTCGTCAAATTCTTATTTTTATCCAACATTTCTTGCAATTCCTGCAAACGAGAAGCAGCTAGTTCGGTTTGGATCTCCAGATTTTGCTCTAGTTCTTCCAGCTGAAATCGGGAAAAGGATTGAATCTCTAACAGAAACGTCCAAAAAAAAATGCAATTTAATTAAAATATACTACAAATTTGCTGCAAAGTGTAACGGTCATTCAACATTAGTAGTGCACAGAATTTTAATTCCTAACACTAATAATATAGATGAGTGTTACTGTTTTCAAAAAAAAGTGCAAGTTTTGATAATGTAGATATGTATTAGTGTTACCCAAAAAAAAAAAAAAAAAGCTATTGAAAGAAATCTAATCGAAACTTTTAATATTCGTTCGATATTTCTTCAGTAATTCAAAATTCTGCTTGTTACCTCCAACCACTATTTTGAGATTAAACTGTAATTCATAATGAGCCAATATGATTTACTTTTGATTTATTCACACTGGCTGTTGGAGGAGAATCTGTTTTCGTATTATTCGGACCATTTGCTGCTGACGCTTTCATCATATTCATTTCTAAATCGTGTGTTTTCTTCACATACTGCAAATAATTTGAATTCACTAGGAAATTTTGGATTCAATTCTTTAATAATATTGAAAGTTCAGAAAACTCTAATTGCAATCTATTTGAAAAATAGAAATAATAGAAAGATTTGAATAATAGAAAGATTGGTCTTGCAGAAAGAACAGATTCCACAGTTTTGAACATCGAAAAAAATTCACAAACCACAAAACGAACGATTACTATGGAATTAAATAATTAGTAAACCTCAGCAAGACGAAAATCAAGTTTGCACTCGCGACGTATAGCTTTTTCCAATTCATATTTCATCTCTTCCAGACTATTATCCATCTCTTGCTTGCGAGTATCTATTATCGTTAATTTATCTTCTTGAGCCGATACCTGAATATTAATCGAAGGTTTTTATCCAAAATATGAAAGCAGAACATTTAC